ATTAAAATGCTGTGTGTATTATGCTTTACAGCACCTGTCCTCATGGTAAATGTTCAGTATTTCTTTGAATGAATGTCAAATGTATGACCTCAGCTGAACTCATGGTATTGTCTTTGTGTTCCTCTTCCAGAATCTCTTCTATTTATGGATCTATCTACACTACCAGATTGAATGGTCTTTTTACCAATAGTCCTGTCTAAATCACTTTAGCTAATTGATACTATTGTATTGTTGTGGTATAAGCATATATTTATTGCTTTTAAGGGTTTTCTTTCCCTTCAGTCTTAGACCTTATGCAGTTTCCTGCTACACAAACTAATTAACTCATTTTGAAATGTAGTTGTTAGTATTTTTATCAAGGTGATAACTTATGACTCATTCAGAATACAATCATAGTTCTTTCTTATACTTTTCCATAGAATTGGATTTTAACATGGTTTTTTTTGTTTTGTTTTTTTTTAAAGATGACTGGTAAGGGGATCTTAACCCTTGACTTGGTGTTGTCAGCACCACGCTCTCTGCAGTGAGCTAACCGGCCATCCCTATGTAGGGATCTGAACCCACGGCCTTGGTGTTATCAGCACCACACTCTCCCAAGTGAGCCACGGGCAGGCCCTTAACATGGTTTTTAACTGGCACTTATATTATGATTTCTTTGGTATAATCAAAATAGAGATACAAAACAACAAAAATGCGCTTCACTTGGAACTGTTGGCACTTGTTAATTAAGCTTATAAATATATTTTGTTTTAATTGGGTTGCATTTCTTAGTTTAATATAGGAGGTAATAAGTTATTTTAAATTATTTTAATGTCAGGTTCATTTGTTGTTTTTACAGATGCTGAAAATGAAATGAGACTGAGTAGTTTAAACCAGGTAAACTCATTTTAAGTGAGACAGTTTTTGACATTAGTGTACCAAGAAAAAGTATTTTGATTTATTATAGGTGCTTATTTTCTTTTCACAAATTCATGTGAATTTACCCTAAGAACTTTCATTTCAGTGATTTTATGTTTGCTGATTAATAAATCACAAATTGACATAATTTACAAAGTTGCATGATTGAAAAATACAGATATGTCTTTTTGAAGATTAATTTGACAAATGTTATATGTGTAGAAAGAGTGGAAGCAGATCCTATACTGAAGTGAGGAACACATTTTGATTTTCCTTGTTGAATTTGAGGAGTTGTTTCTATTTCTAATAATTACAAGTTATTTTGTAAATAAATAAAAATAAATATATATGTATAT